TAGTCCGCGTAAAGTGCATTTATTTGGTATTCAAGATGAAGCAGTACGCGAACAAATTAATTACGTTCTCGATGAAGACGGAATTATCGGCAAAGGCCCTAATGGCACGCTGAGCATGGTCTTCGATGGGATTAAGAGATTGAATAAAGGTGAAAAACATTTAAAGATTACTTGTGATAACGCCGGTGGTCAGAATAAAAATAATGCCACTATTTGATTTTGCCCATATTTAGTAATTTGCGGTTATTACGAAAGTATTAAATTGAATTTTATGGTACCTGGACATATTAAATTTAAGTGTGATGGTAGCTTTGGATTGATTAAGAAACTATACCGCAAAACGACTGTATATTGTGTGGGTCGTATTGTTGATATTGTGAAAAAATCAAGTACAGCCGGATTCAACAAGGCTTAGTATTAGTGTTATGTAATGGAAAAGGTTTTCAATACTTAGATCTGAATTCTGTATTGGAGATTTTCTTTAAAAATTAAATGGTCTGCAAAAATAAGCATTTTCTCTTTGAAGCAGCTCAACCTGGAGTTGTCAAAGCTCGGCTGGTTGCTAATGGTGCAGAATTTAATTTGTTGAAAACTAGAAAAGCAAGTGTTTCTGAAATTACCAAAGAAATCAAATCCTTTTCCATCCTAGCCCTCCTTTGGATTATAGAAGGCAAGAATATCTTTATCATAATATTCGCCCATTTGTTAGAGATGAATTCAAAGACATTACTTGTCCACAACCAATTTATACTGACAATGGATAAAATTCCTTTATCACTTGTTAATTTGTTTTCTACTGGTCAGAAGAATTAGTGGACTTAATAAAGTTATATTTCATACGAGAATCATGTATGACGAAATCTTCATCGGATGCTTCATTCCCGCTTACGTTTCCTCTTATTAGTTTCAAACACATCCTGAATTTTATGCACCGCCGGTAGATTAAATAACATAATTGCATTGATGCCTTCGGATTCCATACCATATTTTGCCAGCACCTCGCTCAAACTGTGGTACGATGAGAATGACCGCTTCGGCGTGGCTTGGCTTCTTTTGCGAGTCTCATGCCGGTCCCGATTCCAAACCCTGCTTGCGTGAAATCATATCTAGTCATATCAAGTCTTGACCGGAGACCTTTCGTTTGCGAAGAATAGCAAAATCATCGTTGTCAAGTTTGAGGCCCTGTTCTTGCAGATAAAGGATAAGTGTCTCTGTGTCCTAGTTTTCGACTCAAATATGCATTGTGCTCAATTTTAAAAGTAGACAGAGGAAATTATGACACGAGTACTTGTTACGCTTTCATATATAGTGGACTCTCCCTAAGTGCAGTTTCTCCACTATATTTTCCCTCCCTAAATGCAGGCTCTGGTTTGGTCCCGAGATTATAAGACCATTAAGTATTTTTCACTCTCTATAAATGCAGGTTGTGTCTGATTTGGCCATATTAATATGGTCCCATCAGTGCTGGCGTTCGTGTAACGACCTTGGGATTTAGTCGTCTTCCGGCGGAACTCTTAGGCTCGTTCCTACTATCGCTAAACCTC